CTATAGGAAAAAAATATAAATCTTCCTTGAATTAACTTTTCAAATACATAACCATCCTTCCCTTTCCACAGGGAAATAAAAATCTCTCAGATTCTCAGCAGAGAGAAATATCCCTATTCGTGGGATATTTCTGTGGGAATAACATAAGGTTTCCCAGACCTGAAGAAGAGCTCTGTGTAAGCTCAAAAACTTCTCTCTCACCAATAGTTGGTCCAATAAAAAGGCATTTCCTAACCCATCTTTTCTCTCTAAGATTTACAGTACAAACCTGAGTACATTGGAAGCTCTCTGTAAAATTATTTGGGTATTTTTGCCTATTGCACACTGAAACTGTGTCTAAAAGTTCCTTATGAAAGAGAAACAGATTTTGTTGTTGTAGTTGCTGTCTTCATAGCAATGACACATTGTCCTTTAACCAACCAAGCAAGTAGCAGCCCTAAAAGTGGGCTGGCTTCTCTGATAAGCTTAAAAAAAAAATCACCACACAACAACTCTAGTTGTACCACTCCCCTTCAATACTCCATATGCATCTCCCATGTAAAAATCTATTTACTTTTTACCTCAAGGAATGATCCATTAAGATACATCTCCTATAAAGGGATATTTGTGACAGGAGAATAAACAAGAGTTTTGAGATCCAATACCTATGGGTACGGAACACTCTGTAGATGCCGGACATTTGACCAGACTCAATATTATATGTTTAATTCTGTTAAGGACATCTGAATATAAAAATACAGAAAGGTTTAGTTCAAAGTTTTGGCCTTACACCAATACATGCAGGAGAACACATGGTATATGGGAGAGTTGTACCGTGCTAACAGATTGATTTCTGCGAGAAGCTGCAATGATTAAAACCACAAAGTAGAATTTCACACGGAACTCCAGCTTATTACAAGACTGCAAGTGGCCCCCAGACTGCAGCACTTTGGATTTTTATGAGATGATGTTTAACTAGCTCCACATGTGTTAAGTCGTCATCCAGCTCTGTGATATTTCACACACTGTAGTAATGGCAGTGTTTGTACTGAATAGTAACAGAAGTGGTTCACTGGAAAATTGCTTCTTGTAAATCCTGCTCACATTTTGACTTTGTAAAAGTTGCTGTTGCTTTTAATATTCCTAGTTCATGAATTATAGGAACACAGAGGTTAGAAAGATACCTAGCCCTTCATCCTACAACCACTTAGTCACATGTTTAACTTCAGCTATGAGAGGGCATGTCTACATGTACAGTGCTGTACCAGTGCAGCTGCACTGCTGTAGCATTTCAGTAACACTACTATGCCAACAGGAGAGTTTCTCCTGTGGGTGTAGTTAATCCACCTCCCCAAGAGGTGGTCACTATGTCAATGGGAGAAGCCCTCATCCCAACCTAACCCCTGGTGTTGATAGAAGTACATTGCTCAGGGGTGTGGATTTTTCACACTCCTGAGCAACATTATAATACCAATGTAAGTTTGTAGTGCAGAGTCCCACTGAATTCTGTGTTCAGTAAGCGCATGCAGTGGGTTTGCAATATCAGGGCTGTACCATATAGTACTAGTCTTGTCTATGGCCCTGATACTCTGCCCAAAAAGAGTATTATCTTAGTCATACTAATTTCGAGATTGCTTCAGTAGTAAGATACTACTCAACCTGACCAATCAAGCTGTTGCCCCAGCCCCCTTATCCCTGTTTACATCTCCCCTCCCAGAGCCACAGCCCTGCTCCCAGCCCTGGCTGGGGAAGGGGACGGGTGGAGGGGAAGATGACGCAGATAGGGGTAAGTGTGTGTGTGGGGGAAACATAAGGTAAAAAGTTTGGGGACCACTGCAATAAGAGGTTCGGCCTGCCCCAAATGGCTTACAATGGGACAACAAGCAGGTTTAACAAATTATAGAAAAAGATATGAAGCAGCAAAGAATAAGGTAACAGATAATACTAAGTGGTTGAACAGACTAGCAGTGATTTCTGTTGTATGTGGAAAGTTGGAGGGGAATGGTTGGGATGCTGAGGCAAGTGAGGTTTAGTTGGTTGGTGTTCTAAAATTCTGCTTGAGCAGGATACAAAATCCAATGGAAAGTCTCCTTTTGATTCAATGGACCTTGGATCAGGCCCCTTATTTCCACTTTATCTAGGTTGAGTTAGGACATTTCAAAAGCAAAATATACTTATTTCCATTTTTAATTGCAATTTGACTAGTTACTGTTTCCATTTGAATTTATATTTTTAACCACGGCCTAGTAGAATTTTTAATTGGATTGGTAACTGAATAGTGAGGATATCAATACCACTGTCCATGAAACTGAACATATAATAACGAGCCAAATACAACTGAGTTGCAGTGATATAAATCGATGGCATGTCTAGAGATCTACACCAGTACACGCAGGAATAAAACTTGGCATAAATCTATATTTCAGATTTGGAGCCTTATCCATAGCCCACCGAAAAAGAGTGGAAACACACGTATACATTTCAATGGGGTTTGGGTTAGGCCCTTATATAAGTGCCTTCCATCCAGTGACTTAAAATAGCTTTACAAAATGGTGCAAAATTTGGATTTGGGGCCTGTAAGGATCAAATGGGAAATTTGGATCTAGAACTTCAGATTCAGAATTTTGGTCCATGCCTGTTTCTAGAATAAAGCCTCACAAAACTCCTGTGGTCAAATACTTCAAAAGCAGCTGCTGGCTTTCAATGTCCAACCTGAGACCTGATGTCCATGGGAGCTGCAGTGTTCAGTAACTTTGAAAATCAGACCCAAATAATCTTGACACCATACACACTTACTCAAAATTAATTTCCACTTTTGGAAAAATTTTAACTTGTCTTCAGTCACACATCAAGTCAGGGTGGAGTCAGCATTAGCCCTCTCTTGTGGTTTAACCACTAGGCCATGCTTCCTTCCTGCAATTTGGTTTTATCATCTATTTGTAACAAAGTTCATAGAGCTGAGATCTTAATAAACAATATCAAAGTAACTTCTAAGATGCCAGGAAATGCTATGTTAGAAAATAATAAAAAAAATATTTAAAAGGCACACACCACTTTCTTAATGTTTAAGTGCTGAGTATTAACCTGGAATATGTCTATGGGTCCAGTTCCAAGAACCTGGTACATGCATAGCAGAGGAAGGCTGGTTCATGTTTGCCCACATATGAAAGGCTCAATGAATAGGCTTCAGCTAACTAGCCAGAGAAAGTTTAAGTGCAGTGAAAAGAGAGGATCACTCACATATTCAAGGACAAGTCTCATGATGTTTGACAGGAAATTGTCCAGGAAGCTAATTCAGAGAAATCAAAACAAGGGTGGTATGTTCCCAGGACCCAGGGCGGGTCAGAAATCTCACAGCTGAATTTTGTACATATGGTAACTTGAACAGAGTGGATATAGGGGAGGGGAAACAGATGATAGAAAATTTAGTTGTTACTTCAAGAAAAAAAAATGTGGGAAGCAAGAATTTCAGTGTCATTATAAATACAAGATAAGCCAGATAGCCATGACATTTAAATAAAAAACAAATATAACTTTCAGTAGTAGGGTCAGAAATATTATAATTTGAAATACATATCAGATCTAACCTCTGGATTACACTGACTGGTCATTTAATGTGCAGGACTTCCCTACCCAGCGCTCCATACAGTTTTGCAACCCCAATGTGGCCCCTGGGCCAAAAAGTTTACCCACCCCTTGTCTAGTTCTATTTGGTGTTTTCCTACAAGCTGCAGCTCCTGAAGTCATGCTATTACAAGAGCATCTCAGCTCTCACTTTAAAAGAGGGAGATTCTAGCTCTCATGGTTTCAGAGGAAAAAATGAAAATGTGACCCCTAAAGGCTCCAACACCAGAAAACAAATATAAATATTCCTAGATGGATTGTTTTAAATCTCATTTTTAAAGCAAATCTCATGATTTTTAGGGGCCTGACTAATTATTTTTGAATACTCAGAGTTGGCAATACCATTTAACCTGTGATACTTTGATTTTTGGGAAGACCCCAATTCAAGTTAAGAATGTAAGAGCAGTTCTATAACAGCTGAGCAGATAGCATGACCTCTGATCACAAGACAAAGATGCTCAATAGCATGAGTTGCAGCGACTGTCTGAGCAAAGACTTAATTCCAGCTGTGACACTGATTTGCTCTGGGACTACTCATAAAGTAAGGTATTACTCAGACTGGCTAAAGGTGTGAAAATCTGACCTTTTACTTTCCAGTTTATTTATAGTCAGCAGACAGAACCAGGCCATTATTCTGCTCTGTCAGGCAGCTGAAGATAACAGTAGCTAAATCACACTCTGTTTGAATGACTTTCCATATTTATTGTTCATAAATACAGAATATATTGAGTAACTGAGCTAGAGCTAATGTGGGATTCAGAAGTAATTTGAATTTATACCCACTTTTTCCTTTGAGGGGAGAGAAAAAAATACAAAGCTGATAAGCCATATGACTTCTTATGTTTCAGTATATTTATATTAGGGACTATATGTCTTGGATTTCTGAGAGGAGAATCCCAGCAGTCCTACAGGAAACCTGAAAGGCAATGAATGGGAAAATGAAAGAGGTTAGATGTTTCCCACAAGCTATAGGATTTCCCAGAGGAGTTTTATACATTCTAGGCCAAATTCTGTGCTGAGTTACATGAGCAGAACCCTGGTTTCTGTAGCGCTAAAGCTCTGTAAGTGAGAGTGGGATTTGATACCGTTTGCACCATTGAATATTGATTCAGAGCAGGTCAAAACAATGGAAGGTCAATTCTGAACTAACATTTTAAAGGATAGTGTCATCTTCATAAAAGATGACTGCAGGCAGCAATGTACAAAGAATATCTTATAAGATCATGGAAGATCCTAGAAGGTATTAAAAAAAAACCTGACTATGGCACAGGCCTCAGGAATCCATATGAGAAGAGTGAGGAGTTTAAATCTAATCTAAAGCAAGTCAGATAGTAGGTACTGGTGATTGAAGTGAAGAAGAGACATGATAGATTTTATTTCGTATCTTCTCTCATCAGAATATTGGCTGGACACCCCATATTCAAGAAAAATCACTGGCTTTTTCACCTCATTGCCTTGTTTACATAGAAAGGAAGGAACCTTCAGTATGCACCTCAGGATTTGTATGCAGAACATGAAAGCCCACTCAGCACTGGCAGCACAAAAGTAATCCAATTAGCAAGATCTTCACAAAACTCAGTGGGATGGTCAAGATGGGAACTCTCCATGAAATCAAAAGTCTACAACTTCAGAAATGTGACTAGAGATGAGCTGAAGTGGTTTGGAGGAATGTGTGAATAATGAGGTTGTGGATTTTGGTTTTGTTTACAGTAGAAAAGAACTAAGCAAAATTTAATTTTGTGTAGTCTACAGAGAAACTATCAGTCCTCCCCTCAGCTTCAGTCAATCCAATTATCGCCACTCTACTCAGCCAGAGCAGGATGCTGAGTGCTAGTCAGGGCAATGCTCATGTCTGTGTTAACAGAAGAAGGAATACACCTGTTCAGTACTGAGCTCCACGTGTTGGCCACATATTATGAAAGTGAGTGGAAAAAGTGACCAGAACAGGTACTGGTGAGAAATTAGAGAAGGCTTTGGGACACTTCTGCTTCAGTCAGGTGTCTTGGAAGGCCTACTCGACAGACATGATTGGGAAGATGATCTTTCTTATTCCTCTTAGTTGTTGTTCTCCTTTCTAATGATCATGCAGCTATTTTTTCTTACCACTCCACAAAGCTAACACCCCTGAAATCTTTTATTGTGATACCCTCTTCAGGTATTGTGAAGTTGCCCTCTTCAGTGCTCTACCCAATTCTCTCCTTTCTGTAATATGGATGCCCTAAATAGTGCATTGTGTGACACATATCACAACCCCATGCAGTATCTTTGGGGCCCAGTGTATTAATCATACATAAAACTTTCATAAATGTATGTTTTACTTCATGGGGAGGGTTACCACAGCTCCTACAAGAATTTAAAACAATGTGTGTGTGTGGGTGGGGGGGAATATTAAGTATAGTCACTGAGACTAAACAGCTCTAGAGAGGAACTCCTTCTGGAGTGGTTTGCATATACTGGTTCAAGCTGGGTTTTCCTGAGACTAGGAGACAAAGAAAGGGCTTTTAGTATAAAAGTAGGCTTAGAGGAAATCCATTTTTATTTTTTTAATAATTTTGACAGATACCAATGTTTATCTATTAAGTTTTCAGTTGTGGGAAGGTATGGAGGGGGCAGACAATTTAATGACAGACACTGAAATTCAAAAAGTTAAAGCTTAATAACCATTCAAAACCAAACTGTCAACATCGTATCAAAATGTACAAAGTAAATTTCCTTAAATCAAACTCTAATAAGTTCTCAAGAAGCATTTTTCCTTTTGCACATCTGTAAATTCTGATCATCGTCAATGGAAATCTTTTTTTGTCTATGTGTGTATGGTGAAATTGATGTTTATCAACATTTACCAATAAAAATCTAAGCCTTTCAAGGCTGTATAAAAGGATGAGCTTGAACTGACACATGACTTCTTTCTGATCAGCAAATAGACAGAACCTTCTGCCCAAAGTGGGGTCTCAATCCTTGTAGAAGGGCTGGAAAGACTTTGACCTATTACAGTCCCATAAGACTGATGGGATATCAAATGGGTGACCTCTAGTAAGCTATTAGCACCCATATAGGAACTTCTATTGGTTTTATGTTTTCTCTGTAATGCTTTTAACTTTAAGAATAAATGTGCTTGCTTAGAAATATTTATGTGTAACTGTTGGCAATACACTGGTCACAGCCCTCGGAGAAAACAAAGCACAAGCACCAGCCTTTAAGTAGACTGGCTTTCTGGGGATATTACAGTGTAAGGCAGGGAGCTGTGCCACCCTAAACCCCCCAGTTAGAAGACCATGGGACAAGGGTCCCTGTCCAGAGACAGGTGATGACTAGAGACCTGATTTAGCATTCCTGGAGTGGACCAGAGGGAGGGGGCGGGGAATACAGGTGCAATTACCCTGAAACTGTGCCACACAGTTCTCTAGGGACTTGATTTTTCACTCTCTCCGAGTTTTGCCAAGGGCTGCAAAGCTGGTATGGAGCCATTCAGCTCCAGTAGACGTTACGATTGCACAAGGAAAGCCTTACTATACTGCACTGGCACACGAGTCCCAACCCTGAGGACCTTCCACCAGTGGAGAATAGGGTGTAGTGGAGTTCCACACTGCCTCATCCCCTCCCAGCTCTGCCTAGACCCTGTCCCCAACCTGCCTCCTTCTTCCTCTTATACCATTAGTGCAAGGGGCGGCTGGTGCAAGAAGCAGCAGTGCTGCTTCCACCAAATTTCCACCAGTGGAGAATTTCCTACTGCAAGGGGAATTCTTTACATGCCATTGTACCTGATACACTGGTTTGCGAAGGCCACTCTATATCTTGACCTACATATAATCTCACTTGGCCATTTAGCACAAGGCCATAGCAATGGTGAGCACAAATCGTTAGAGATAAAGGAACAAATCTGGAATGTAATTGTTGCCAGACAGAGGGCCTGCTTCCTTTGTTATCTAGAATTACTAATGACTTAACTGAGGGGCTGTACTTATGTCCAGAGAAGTTTGAACAGTTCGTGAACCCACTAAAAATGAGAAAGGGAATGGGACTGTGAGAATCTGGTGAAAACACTACAATTCAGTTTGGCATGGTATTGTTTATTATTATTCACAGCAATTGTCTGGAATAGGGTGATATCAGGATCTAGATATTCAGTAAGTTAAACACTTAGGGACAAATTCTGCCCTTAGTTAAACCCATAGCAACCCTTTATTATTAATCAGGCTATTTTGATCAATCAAAGGGGTTTCATAAGTGTAAGTTAGTGCCAAATTTGGTCCCTACAAGCCATGATGCCCACTGCAAGAATAGGGCCCGATTCTGCTCTCACTAACACCAGTAGAAATCAGGAGTAAATCAGCTGAAGCCCGGTGTGAAGTACCTGAGTAAGTCAGTTGTAAGTGGGATCAGAATGAAGCTTACTGAAAATAAAACTTTGTCACAATTCAAAAAAATCCTCACCAAAGAGCTAGAAATATTAGTTCCAGCCATGAAGATAGGATCCCATTTTTAGGAGCAGTGGTAAGAAGTAATATAATAAACAGTTTGTGAAGATGCAGGCAGTGATCCTATCAGTAAATCACTAACTCTGTCCACATCTCTCAGTTCTCAAGTATAATTACCCTCAAAAGTCTTCATGAGACAGTTATTTCAAGACTCACATGTACGTACAAACATCTAATTTCTTGTTCGTCCAGTCTTTTTTTTTCCTGAAAGAGGCATCAGCTACCACTTCGTTATAGATTTTCCTCATGTAATCTAAAAGAAACTACATATTGAATATCTGTCTCCAGACAAGTGCCCAGTTGCAATATTTCATCTCTGGGCAAGTTAATGAAATTGCATTTTTGGATGCATTAAGGCATTTCCCAATACTATCAAAATGCCTTCATTTTATTGCCTAACATAAAACATTTATACACCATCAATTCAGACAGCGGTAAGAAGGGAAAGTAAATTTCAGCTGAAAGTTTGGAAGCATAAACATAACTCATACCTTCTGTTTCACAAGTGCACAGCAAGTATCAAAGGAAATGACAGAAAAAAAACAAAAATAAACAGCACTGTATGTGCATGCAAGCAAACCTAAAGCCATCAGGATGAGCTGAGACCATTAGTTTCTCAGAAGTCTCTAAGAGCTTTATCCCACAATGAGCTGAGCACCTCTTGGTAGACAATGAACTCTTAATTCACACTGACACTGAAAGCAGCTAGCTAGTCATGTGGATAATATTCCACCTCTCAAGGTCAAGGTGGTACAAAGGTTGGAGCCAGTTACCTGCAGACATTGAGATCAGAGCAGAAGTAGTAAAATAGTGCTTTGTTCAAAGATTTTAGCAACAAACATTGTTGGGACTACTCACTTGAAACCCTTTATAAAATGACTCCTTGAGCCAATGCTCCAGAGCACAACTGTGTATGAAAATAAGTGCTTGCAAATAGAGGTGACACACTGGCCATATTATTGGCCATGATCCCAAGCTAATCATTTGATTTGCTCATGTACACTTATATTAGCATTGTACGCAGGCCTTTGTAAATCAGGCCCTTAATCATACCTCCTTTTGAACCAATTATGGAAATTTGTTCATCAGCTTAGACCCTCAGATGTCAAAATGTTAAAAATCTTGCAAGTTTAAGCCTTTCATATAAAAATAATTATAGCTCAAAAATGAAACATTGTCAATCACTATGCCGGACACTCCACCAGTTTGTAGTACTGTAAGCAGACAAAAAAGCCATAATTGATGAAAGCACACAGACCACTCAGCTCCCAATACTGCAGACCACAAACCTCAAGCCATGTGCGATATTGGAAAACTGCATGTACAACACAATTCTTTTAGCCATTAGGGTTATATGACCCTATTCTATGAGTAAGATACTACAAAGGATCAGCATTGTAAAATATTTGAATGGAAAAATACCTGTTATTTAAGTCTATCATAACTCAATGTGCAGTACTTTGAAATGTAATATGCAAGTTATGTATACATGTGTACAGGAGAGGTGAGTTCACGGTGTAAGATTCAGATCTAGATATGAATTTCAGACTGACGTTTGGCAGTGTTTAGATTTAGGGTTTGGTTCGGTCCACTGTTGACAAAGGGACAGATTTTCAAAGGCATTTAGGCACTTTAGGGTGCAGGTAGGCACCTAGTGGGATTTTCAAAAATGCCCAATTCATTTGGGTGCCAGAGTCCCACTGAAATCCATGGGATTAAGTGCCTAACCTGCTTAGGCACCTTTGGAAATCCTAATAGGTGCCTCTCTGCATCTTTAAGTGAGTAAATACCTTTGAAAATCTGGCCCAAAGTGACCAGCTGTAAAAATTTCTCTTGATGTAGGTGTGGACTTCAAATACTCCTCCTCCCTTCCCCCCAAAGTTCAATTCTTGGATATTGATTCAGGCCCATCTCTAATCACAAGGGTAATTAATGTGCACAACAATTTTCTTCCTTTAGGATTAAAGCTAAGCACATATGCCTACACATGCTAATACAGAACTCTTCTCTGGCTTTTCCCCCTTAAGGAATATGCAAAGCATGAAGTGAATGAAATATGAGAAGAAGGAAAAAAGTGAAATAAAAGGACCATGAGTAAGGTTACTCTCATAGTATTTCCAATCTGGCTGATACACAGAAGTAATAAAAATGAGTAATAAAGCCTGTTCTTAATTTCCAGAACAAGGAAGTCTGGATATGCATCCAAAGTTAACCAAGCCTCCAAACCTTTCAATACTGAGTACCCTATTTCTACCCAAAGGTGTCTCAGTCTAAACTAAAAAGTAACTAAAAGTATTGTGTTACATGGACACGTAGCATTCCTCGGTAGGGATTTATAGGTACACTGACCATGGTGGGATGAGGTCAGAACAATGCTGGAAATAGTGAAAAACACTACTGAAAAGAAAGAGGCTGTCCCTTCAGATGTATAATTCTGTGTGTATCCATACACAAACTCTTTGAAATGAGAATATCTTACCACACGGAACAAAAAATAGCTATTATTTTTATAGCTCTGTGTACAAATATATGCCTTGCAGATGTGGTATCAGAATGCTTGGATAATTCTATCAATATGTACGGATGATTTTTATTTAGTTGTTATGCTCATCAAAATCAGAAACATAACTTTACATCTCATGAATCTGACAGATTCTTTTGCATTGTAGCTGTATAACACGGGGGTGAAAAAGAATGTAATGGTGCACACAGCTGAGTGAAATTAGTAATGTGTCTCAGCTGACCTATTACATTATACATATGGACAGCAGATTTCTCTCTCACCAAATGAAAGAAACAAATGAAAAGTTTAAAGAGTATTGTATACATTTTTATAGATTATGCAGAGAAATAATGAGTTAACAGTAATTGACCTCTGTAATTAAAGCACATTGGCTAATTAAGTTGTTAATGAGACAGAACTATAGTATATTTCACGAGATAAGTTCAGATCAGACACACAGAAAATGGGATTTCATGCTACTAATTCATTTTACTCATTTCTTGTCTGGATGTGAAGCCATTAAGGCTAAAATTTCCAGAAGTGGTTGTCTCAAGTTATGCTCCTAAATCCACACTTAGGCATCTTAATAAAGTAGCCTGATTTTCAGAGATGTTGAGTGTATACAATGGAATCTACAAGTCTTCAAAATCTTTGAAAATCACCCCATTTCATTAGAAGTGCCTAAATATGGCTTTAGAGCTCAGCTATAATTGATCAATTCTGAAAATTTGCCTTACAGTAGAACCTCAGAGTTATGAACACCTCGGGAATGGAGGTTGTTCGTAACTCTGAAATGGGGGGAGGGATAGCTCAGTGGTTTGAGCATTCACCTGCTAAACCCAGGGTTGTGAGTTCAATCCTTGAGGGGGCCACTTAGGGATCTGGGGCAAAATCAGTACTTGGTCCTGCTAGTGAAGGCAGGGGGCTGGACTTGATGACCTTTCAAGGTCCCTTCCAGTTGTAGGAGATGGGATATCTCCATTAATTATTAACAAAACGCTATGGTTATTCCTTCAAAAGTTTACAACTGAACATTGACTTAATACAGCTTTGAAACTTTACTATGCAGAAGAAAATATAAAGGGAAAGCAGCAGTTGAATAGTTTACATTTAACACAGTACAGTGTTTGCTTTATTTTTTGTCTCTGTTGCTGCCTGATTGTGTATTTACAGTTCCAAATGAGGTGTGTGGGTGGTCAGTTCATAACTCCGGTGTGTGTA